AGAGAAGAACGGAGACAAAATGGAATTACAACTTTCCTAAGGTATACCACAGCAGCGCATAAACCATGTCCATTGCTTCTTGTATATGTATATTACCGGAAATCAAATGCGTGTTCATCTTCATCTGCACTACTAGTCCAAATACTTGTAGACACGCCTACTTCTCATACTAATTCCACACCACAGATATGAAACCAAGAAAACATTGTTATGGTTCCATCTCTTCAGAATTTTGTTTGGGAAACAAAAGAAGATACTGATTCCAAACAAAACGATTGCTTATAGAGACCAATGTAAGCTTTGGAATCACAAAGATACCATCTTTTCAACTTTATAATAACAATAACACAGATCCACCATCCCCAAAACTCAATTACTCGAGGTTCTGCTCTTCCTTTCATCACTTCCCGTTTTGTATTTCGTCCACAGAGGTGAAGAACCCACAAGAGTTGATGGAACAAAATTAGTTGAGAAGGGACGGAAACGACAGTATAAGCAAGGATCGTCCAACGAAACGATCGGATTCAGAAGCCCTACTTTCATGGGAAAACGAAGGGAATTGCAGCGCAGAAATCTCACCTGTCCTTCCGACGCGCTTTCGCCTCCCGAGCAGGGCAGCTGAGCGAAGAAACGAGAGCAAGGTCAGCAGATGGGCAGGAAACCGCCGGCTACGAGCAAGGTAGCGGACGGCGCGCAGGATGACGGGGTACGGAGGAGAACGCTTCCCGCAAGACGAAGCGAGCGAAGTCGCAGTGAGAACGGTTGGGGGTCGCGTTATCCATCGTTTCTTACACGCCGGTGTTGCATTCTCGTCACCTACCGTGCGCTAACCATCCGTTGACCTGACGTAGCTTTCCATTTGAGCCAACCCGTGGCGCCGTCGGGTCACCGCCCTCGTCCACGCGGACGACTTCTTCCGTCTTGTCGTACGTGACTCCATCACGAACGCCCAAGATTGGGCCCCGCGTATCAGACCCGTGACGCAGCCACGTAGGATGGGTAAGTCGTTTGGGAGGCAGCCCAGGCGTTGCATTCGACCATTCTTCCCATCGAAACATGGCGTACGGTTGAAGGAGTCAATCGTATCCATGGAGCCGTCCATCCGGTGGGATCCATCGCCACGTACGGCCCTGATCGAGTGCTGAATTGGTCTTCGACTAGGATGATTATTTTGCGCGTTTTTCATTAGCCTAATTAAAATGGATTAAAGTAATGATCAAAGAAGTATGAGATGAGTAGAGATAAAGAAATAGGTATTTAATTACGATAAAAGAATAATTTGTGCACAAGGATTAACACAGTTGAACTTAGAAAAGGATAAAAGCATTGACGTTGACATTGGCGGTCAATCCAAGTGTGCAGGACCAATTTAAATTCGATTAAGGTGATATTAATCTGGCCGACTTGGATTAAATATCTGAATAATTAATCCAATATGAACATCCTTGCGTCGTTGTGTTATCGACTAATCCTTAATACGTACCTGTATCGTCGTAAACATATAGCAACGGGACCCACAGAACAGCCGGTAACAGAACTGGTATGCTAGTGGGTACGATAGCGAGGTAGAAGTAGGTCATTTGCCTTCTTGTCTTTGACTGTCATAGTACTATAATGTGCCAAATGGAAGTTTACATGTACTAAGAAAAAGAGTTAGGAAGATAACACTATAATACCAGGACATAATAACCATTTAATTGAGGTAGTTTCTTAATAGTGTTTTTGGATCAAAATTTTTGAAAGCAAATTTGTGGGAGAAAGGGAGAAAAGAAAGAAAGAAAGAAAAAAAAAATGGTTTGGTGAGTTGTGATTGAGGCAATTATTTTGTATATATTTGCATAATTTTTAATTTTTTATTCTTAATAATCTAAATCATCTAAATACATAGGATGCTAATTACAAAAATAATCTCTCTTCTCCAAAGGTTTAGTGGCTCATTCCATGGCTTCATCTAATTTTTAGAGATGACAATGATGATGATAATGATGATGATGATGATGATGATGATGATGATGATGATGATGATGATGATAATAATAATAATAATAATAATAATAATAATAATAATAATAATAATAATAATAATAATAATAATAATAATAATAATAATAATAATAATAATAATAATAATAATAATAATAATAATAATAATAATAATAAAAATAATCCATCACATCACATAGAGGGTGAAGTCATGGACTCTTATCCATATTGTAACCTTCAGCAAATCATAAAATAAAAGACCCATTCAAATTATGTAATTTAATGACATTGCTAGTTGGGTTAAAAGGGTGTGTGTGTGTGTGTGTGTGAGATTGATGGGGCTAAGTTTGGGTTGGGTTGGGTTGGGTTGAGATCGGCTCAATTCACACACCATGGACCGATTCAAGAGAAACAGGTTGGGCCGGCTCGGTCCATGCTACGTTAGGCTTGGTCTATGTGCACTGGGATCCCCTTCAAGTAGACTTGTATGGTGAGACATTTAAACCGTTAAACCGACGCCTTCTTCGTGCATCAGCCGTCCAACTAGATGATATCCTTACAATAATTGAAGAAGATCCTATCTTCTTTGTGTTCTCTGTTGTTCGCTTATGATATTAATTTGATTGATGAGAGCTGAACGAAAATACATTACAAATTAAGGACATGAGACTTCGCTAATGATGTTTGATGAGAGCACATCGGAAGAACTTAAGATAGATAGAACAATAAGACTTTAGTAGTATTGTCACATCAGAGTTACATACGATTCTAATGAAATTTTTACTCTTAGAGCATTGATTAAGTGGTGGTATATTAGATTCACTAATAAATAAAAAAATCCTCATGTAATAAAATTTAAATGATGTCTTATAGTATCAAAATATTTTCTAGAAATTGTTATAATAAAGTTATCACTAAATGCATTGCTTGGTATTTAATAAAAATTACTGTATTATATTTTTATTTTCCCACCATCAATGTATAACTCATGCATAGCATAAAAATATCATATCTAACAACAACCTCTGGGCTCAATATATTAGTCATCGGTCAAAGTTCATCCAAGTCAAAATTGTCCGTATTGCCATGTGATAGTCGACCTAAATCAGGTATTATTTTGTGAATCAAATGACATTTACATATCTTATATCTCTTTCGACAATTAAAAAAGACGACCATTGTCAATTGCATACACATATCTAATTAGGTATATGATGTGGCAATGAGTTTGTTTCTCGATGTGAAATACTAACTATTCTTCTTCTTCTTCTCCTACCAATACTCAACATTATCTTAAGTATTTGATTGGGTTAATCCAAATATATTTGTTTATGAATTTTAACAATCATAAATCATATTACTAAAAAACTACTTGATGGATTGATTTTGAGGTCGGTGATTTTTGTATCCGTTATGTCCAAACCGTAGGTAGGGATCATTATATATCAATAGGTCAAATGATGACATTAATTATGATAATTGATTTAGTTGTTAAGCGTAAGGTCTTTCTTTCTATAAAGTTCCATATTTTGGGTCAATTAAGAATGATACTGAGCTAATCGATTCACATATACTAATAATTATTATTATTAAATATGCTAAGAGACAAGATTAGGTGCCATTCATGTATAATCAATCAAGTCGTCATTTGAGATAAAGTTGTACCACTTGTAAGCCTTGTAATTGTATGAGACGATGATATGTATTATTTGCATTGTTACAATTTCATGGAGAGCAGACTTTCATATAATAATAATAATAATAATAATAATAATAATAATAATAATAATAAAGATAACATAAAAAATTATAAAAGATTTTATGTGATTCAATACTCATTATATATGTTCACAGAAAAAAAAAACTAAAATTTTTACTATGTGAAAAATCTAATACAAGGAATATCTCTCCCAAGTTAATCGAACCCCAGATATAAAATTATTAAGAATTCTTCTCTAAATTGTTGGAAACATATAAGATATATATTTTTTCACCAAAATATATCTATCTATAGGAAGAAATGGTAATCCATCGAGTAGTACTCCTCCTTGTATTTGGATCCATAATATTAATCATAATTAATCTTAATCCACCGATAAATCTGAATCTAGTTAATAACCAATATTAACATAATTATTTGGTTGATGGTTAATGGATGATGTAATTATTTTGGGTGAGATGACACCTTAAAGAAGAACACAAGGCAGGTGGATAAGACTGGGATTCGTCAGCCATGACGTCGTACGTGTTAACGTCGTCAACCATTCTTCTTTCTTTGATGAAGGAACGAAACCGTTGACTTCCGTAATTTTCCTTTTTATTATTTTCTTTGACGCCTTGGGATGCGACAACCCACCGATTACTAATTTTGCGAACAGACTTGAGTTGAAGACCAAGCTATAAATTATTAAGAAAAACACATCATAATAACATAATTATTATATTTTCTTTTCCAAAAACAAAAATAGATTGATTACTCGATGAACCAAGCTGTACAATATATATATATATATATATATATATATATATATATATATATATATATATTCTTGCAGATGAGCCACATGATTTGTTTTCCGATAGCACTTACTCCCACATTTTGGATGCATTCCAAGTTTCCTCCTCTGTTCTCAACAACAAGATGTGCAGGTGGTGAACAAGTCAGCACGGCATGAAGTCAGAAGAATTGTCAGCATCCATAGCATATACTACGAAACAAAATCATAGTATGCAATGCGAAAGAGACATCACAAGTTAAAAGCACCACATTCAAGGTCAAAGGACAAGATAAGAAAATATAGTTCACTTGTTTGAAAAACCCACGCAAACAAGTGATCCACACTCGAAGAATTCAAGCAGCAGTGGTGAGAAGAATTGTACTCTCATCAATTGGACATAGTTATTCACCACCACCACCACCAACAACATGTAATGATTCGCCAAAGGGAAAATATTTTATGGTGGGATGCATACCTTTCTCAAGACAAATATAAATCACAACCAAGTACAGTTTCCCAGAAACAAAATCTCGTCACTTGTTGAAAAAACTTTGGAATCCCCATCAATGAACACAATTCCACATGCCATTGGTGGATCTGCAAGTTTGCCAGCACAGCCAGGTATCTTATTAATTACACAAGCACATTAAAATAGTGAAGAAATCTAAGTCTTCCAGTGCAACCAGTGTAAATAATTGGGGACAAATAAAAAAGATTGGTTACCGACGTCATAAAAGTTATAAGATTAGGCGGATACAAAGGAAGAGAATGTGTGGAAGCTCCACGATGCACCTCCTTCAACTGAAAATTCAACCATCACATTCAGATTAGTTGAATGACAAATACCATACACTTCAAATGACAGTAGCCACTGTCTTGCTCCCAATGACTCGAGAAGAAGAGATGGATCAGCTGGGCAGGAACGAAAGTGAGACCCTGAGTGTTGAGTTAGCAGAGATAGAAAGAAGCATCAGGTCATCATTCAGAATTGCTGCATCAAGTTTTCGAAGAAACTCCAGTGTTGGTTCTACGAGGGCTGATGATGACGATGAGCATGAGTTGACTTGGGCTGCAATTGAGAGATTACCCACCCTTGAACGAGTGAGAACATCTGTTTTTGATCATCGAGATGATGGAAATGTTGCTGAAGAAAAATCTGAAAAGAAGATCATTGATGTTACCAAGCTGGGAGCACTAGAAAGGCGCCTTCTCATTGAAAATCTCATCAGGCATATTGAAAATGACAACCTTCGCCTTTTACAGAAACAAAGAGAAAGGATAGACAGGTAAACTGCATCATGTTGAGAACGTTTTGTTATTTTTCTTTCTCCTCTTGGGTCCATGTAAATCACCTGAGAAATCATGGTTATAGCTGATTGGATTCCAATAATCTATGGTTAACCATGGGCAACTGTTTCCACAGGGTAAATGTGAAATTGCCCACGATAGAGGTGAGATACAAGAATCTGTCTGTGGAAGCAGAATGTCTAGTGGTTGAAGGGAAGCCCCTACCAACTTTATGGAACACTGCAAAGAGCATGATATCGGTAAGAAGATTGAGTCACTCCATATTCTTGATGATATAGTTTAGATTCAGGTGCATTGCTAACAATAAGCACATTGATGGTGTTTATGCATTATCAGACTGATGTACAAACACTTGTTTCTTAGTACCAGATCCATCAGATTATATTTGTCGAACTATGTTCAGAATATAGGAAATTTTCAACAAATGAGCACCACATCAAATCCAAGAACATGCTTTTGAGCTTACAGAGTGCAAGTTTCTTTGAAACAGGGTTTCACGAAGATGCCAGGATTGAAGACTGAAGCCAAGATTCACATTCTCAAAGGCATCAGTGGGGTCATCAAGCCGTCCAGGAAAGTATTTAGAGAACTGTCAACTTAAAGGGGGAAAGGAAAAAAGAGAGATAAGATGCTTCATTTAAGACTAGTTCAAAATACACTGCCCTCTTTCTCCTCTCTGTCTGAAAGAATCAATCCTCACAGTCTCCAAGTACAGCTGATATATGCATAGACAAAATGATAACCCAATTTTCCTTCTTATTATATGGGACATAGTCACAATGTGTAGAAGATTAATTATTTAAATTTATCTGATTTACAGGATGACTCTGGTGCTTGGACCTCCAGGATGTGGAAAAACAACCTACTTGCTAGCTCTCTCAGGGAAACTAGACAAATCTCTCAAGGTTTCTATCTTTTAGCCTACTCAGAAAAAGAGCAAGAATAGTACAATCAACAGTTACTCATCTGGAAAGTCCAAAAATATAAATGACACAGTGACAGTTTAATTTCTTTTATGAACAAATTGACTTTCACACATTTAAATCTACAAAGTCACAAAAAGCATATATAGCTTTACTTTGTCATAAGAATGCTTATCCATTCCAATCATTCCTTTTGTATAAAACATCTATCAGTATCATACCAGGCTTTTTACTAGTGTACTCCTTAAGATCACTGTTTTTTCTTCTCTGTTTTAATTTGTAGCTGGTAAGTTGTAGTTGTTTTGTCTTTTATTTGCTTCTGCCTGACAGATATTAAGCCATCATAATTTTTATTCTGCTGTCATAAATCAGTTAGATTGGAGTTGGAGCCTATTAGTTATCTAAAATGCCTAAAAAACACATATAACTGCTTCAAAGTCCTATTCTCTACCTGAAGGATCGATTAACTTGTACTACTCCGGAGATCCAGTTATCCCACTTTGGTACAAGAAGCATACATCACCAGCCAACTAGCCCATATTGCATGAGCTTATTCTGGCAATGTATGCAGATATCAGTTGCTTGAGAAGTACAGATGAAAGTTTATCCGATAGAAACAAAGTCGTTAAGTTTATCACTTTAAGATCTAATCTCTATCAAAATGATTCCTTTCATCAGATAGTTATTATAGTATGTGGAGAATGGAATACATATATCATATATAATAGATCAAGAAAGGAAATAATAAATCTATGATTCATATCTACTATTCAAACCTCACAATAAGACCAAAAATATCTTCAAATGAATTTTCTGCAGATCATATCGAGTCAATTTCATTAAATGATCATCAAACAGTTCCTCCTCAGAGTCCAACTCAGTTTAGGTCGAGGCTTTGCGTTATTAAATTATTGTGGTTCTAGTATGAATTGGGGTTCATAAATTTATCTTACTATACTAGCTTACGCATAGAAAATTTCCTTGTATTGAATTGCTAAGCTATAAAAGCTTGACCTCATTTTGTGATAATTGTTTGTCTATCTTCAATTGAACTAGAGCAAGGATGCAGAGGCTTCTACTTAAATGTCCTTCAGAAATCAAGAACATGGAATAAAGCATGTAGACAGGCCCATTTATGCAAATATTAACTCAAGTTTCAATGCACTGATCTAGCCATATTTGAAACCTTACCCATCTTTGGCATTTTTCTGGAACAACATTTACAAATAATTGAAGCGACAATTTCCTTTTTCATTGTCTTTCACCAATTCTTCTTTAAATTTTCTCAACCTCTCCTAAACTGAAAGTACTGGGCTTACAAGGATTCCTTTATCCTAATTAGAGCTGTATCTAGTAGCTACCTACCTCGAATCCTCAGCGCTGGTGCTATTGTATTGAACAATTGTTTCATAATTGCTCCATATTATTATCCATGAATCATTGGTAGTTTTAAGACATCTTCAAGGACTTTTCTTTAAATCCAATCAGTTAATTGCACCAATTGCACAACATGACAGATACATAGCTCAACTGAATCATCCAGCTCTCAACCTTATGACATAATAAATCCAAACTATCTAAACATCAAATATACATTTCAAATACACATTCTTAATGGAATCCTCTCATCTAGAGTTTTTCCATTTTCTAACTTAAGAATTTATTTCTTGCACTATTAACATTAACTTAGCATTACTAGCAAATGGCATATATCAGAAAATTTCATCGCCAATAGGTTTAATAAGTTCATTATCACTAGTACAAAATTGATTGAAAAATTAGAAAAAAAATTGGTTGAAGATTGCTGTGATTGAAAAAAAAATCACTAGTTGCACACTAAAATGGTTACTATAATTATTGTTCAATCATACACAATGTTGGTCCCCTTTCCAAAATCAACTGCATTATCTCCCTAGTGATTTTATCATGTAATTTATCTAGATTAATTAAAAACATGATTGAAATATACTCATCTCTTGAAATATTTTCATAATATGTACATAAAACCTGTAGCAATGTTAGTGGGAAATTAAGTTTGTTTTCAAAAGATTTGCTTCAAACCTTAATCTATTTTTAATTATTAGAATCTCAGGTCTAATAATTCCAATCATGTTATAGATTGTATGGTTTCAAATAGTATGGTTATGTTAACAGAGATAGTAGGGTTAAGAGATTAATAAAAAATTTAACTGATTTGAAAAGAAAGTAGATAGATCAGATTGAAGATGTAACAATGAAACCAACTGATAAACATTTGACTTTTATTCATCAAACAAAACCAATTACAATTGATTTTGTGGCTCTACGTTTGATTTAAATCCTAACATAACTAGATGCTTAATCAAGTAAAGCTCTATATCCTACTGGTTTCACGACATTCAATTGTAACTGAACTAGGTCATCTTAGAACCAACATATTTCTAAACAAGTCTTTGGGAACACACAAAATTTAATCATGGTTAACCAACTGAACTATTTCTCATAATCTAAATGCCAGAAGGATAACCTAACAATGTGGAACGTCATCATGGTTAAATGTTTGCTAATCAGTTATTTTTAACTCTTTTTAATTAAAATAAAACAGATATAGGTTAAAACACAAAACTACAAGTTTGACTTGCTCAAGCACAACTGAACATGGTTTATGTACTTTCCACAAAAATATGAAGGAATGACAAAAAGGTCGAAACTTCAAATTTGTTTTAGACATGTTGTAAAATCATTGTAACAATTAGCCTAACAGAAACATGAAGGAAATCTACAGTTACACACATAATTATAAATGCATGTCATATCTTTATCAAGTTATTAACGGTTATCAAATTGCATTAACCTGCCAGCGGATAGCATGATGGAAACCAGCACCTAATCCAAGTTTAGTCTGGGCAGACAAATCAAGGCTGCGGTACTACAACCCTTTAACTAACCTAAGGCCTATCACTGCTTCCAGTAATCTTATTTGAGGACATCAAAATGTTTCAATCACTTCATCTTTTTATCCATACTTAGCTTGCAAGTACACAAGCACACTCATTCCTCATGTGGTTTTTTCTGAACATGCTGAAGCAGATAACCTTCCAGCCTTCCAAAGATAACTGTCCACTGCATTACTATCCAGTGCATGCAAATCTTTCATAAAACTTCTCTACTTAATTATCATGCAAACATCTTAAAATATGTTTTTGGAATCTCAGTAATGTGGAAAGTCAAATTGATTAGTGTTTCCAATGACTAGTTTTGAGTATTTATATTTTTGAAGTCATCACTGATTTAGCACTTTAGCCTACAGAACCAAACTTCTCAACTTAAAAGGTTGTTGCTGTACAATGCATATGTGTTTTCTATCATGTGTCATATTCCTAAGCTTCCTAGACTACTACCATCTGGTGCTCTCCACTGAGTATGTAGAACATTCTATCATGGTCAGATTTCTAAGCTTCGGAGAACACTACCATTACATGACAATATTGTTGTGTATCTTAAACTACAGCAAACAACTAAACATTATCTAGATATGAATAACCCACAAGCTTTCTATAACCACTTCAGCAAAAAATGTTTTGATTTTCAATGAAACATAGCAAGTTG